AAATTAATAATATTGATACAAACACTTTACTATTCTGAGGTAAAGATTCGGAATAATCGAAACGAGAAGTAATAGAAGTAATCGAGTTATAAAGAACGGCAGTAAATTGATCGTTAAAGTGCGCGTGTAAAACTTTGAAAAAGAGGCGTATGTGTGTGCTCATGCAAAGGTGCGTGCACCTTGCTCAACGACCGAGTACGAACTGGCTATTACATCGCGCAGCTACATCTAAAGAGCAAGCCGCTGCTTACTTTACACAGCTATTGACTAACTAAAGAGACGCGGCGCACTGCGATTTGTTGTCTTGAAACTCGGCGTACTAGTGACTGATTGGTAGATTTAATCAAGCACGTAAACTTCAATCTTAGAACCTCAATATTGAACATTCCCCCTCCCTTGCTTCGACGAGAGGAGAAGGAAGATTGTTGAGCTAACTACAAATCCTCATTCATCCGTAAAAGGACAAGTTTGGAAATTGGTCGGACAAAGGTAGAGGTAGCAGTGCGAACTCGAACAGTGCGAATTAATAGATCAGGACCTGGAAAAGTTTCCTCAACTCGAGCCAACACCCAACAACTAGGAGGAGTATTCTCACCTTTAATCAAAACCAAATCGCCTACCTCTAATGATCTCTGTGGATGATACCATTTAGATCTACTTTGCAAATTCGTAAGATACTCCTAAAGCCAACGACACCAAAAATGCTGAGAAAGTTGAGTTATTAACTTCCAACGTTGCAAACATGAAATTTTAACATCAGTATAATCTAGCTCCGGTAGCAGCGTCACTGGGTTTAGATTAAGCAGATGGGCAGTTGTCAAAACGTCTAAATCACTAGGATCATCTCTTAAAAGAGATAGAGGTCGCGAATTCATACAAACTTCGACTTTACAAAGCAGTGTGGAGTATTCGACAAAAGTTATAATCTAATTACCAACTACTCGCCGAAAATGATGCTTCATCAACTTTACAACTGATTCCCAGACTCTACCAAAATTCGGAGCGGCGGGAGGGTTAAAATGCCATTGAGTTTTCAAGGAACTCATTTGATACTGAAAAGATTTAGACTCCTTAAATTCGTACCACCTTCTACGTAATTCAATATCAGCACCCACAAAATTAGTACCACGATCACTATACAGATCGGAGCAATGGCCTCGACGAGAAATGAAACGCTGGAAGGCAGCTATAAAGACGTCAGAAGTATAATCTTCTACTATCTCTAAATGAACAGCCCTGGTACACATACAAGTGAAAACGGCTACGTAACCTCTACCTCTAGACCTAGATAACTTAACTAAAAATGGACCGGTATAATCAACTCCAGTCTTTAAGAATGCGGGTACAGGTTAAACTCGAGCACTAGGTAAATCTGTCATTTGTTGAGTTAAGGTAGGGCCAGAGTACCGTCTACAAGTGATACTATTTACAAGAGCTGAACGAATCCTCTGTCGTTCCTTGATAATCCAAAACTCCCGACGAATAGTACTCAAAGTAAGTTGAGGACCGCCATGCAAGGTGATCTTATGAGCATAGTTTATGACCAATTCAGTAAAGTGATCGCGAGCCACCAACACTAAAGGACGCTTAGTTTCAAATGGCAGCAACGAATTACTCAAACGACCCCCCACTCTAATAAGTTGATTTTTGACTAACGGTTTTAACGGGATCAACGAACTATTTGACGGAAGTTTGAGCTTAACTTTATCGACAGAATGAGTGACTGAATTGAGCAAATGAAATTCAGCTGTAAAATGAATCAATTGATGCAAATGAACCATCAGGAGTTTAGCATTATAAAGTTCAGGAACAGTAGGGCACGCACTGAAACTATTTATTATGACGCTTAAATTGAAAAAATCTAATTGAGACTTATTAAAGATGCAAACATACAGCTTATAAATAAATCTAAGGCAATAGGCAGTAATTGTTGAAAGCTTTTCTAGAGTTGAATATCGATAATAAAGATCCCAAGTTTCAGGTTTAGCACTTTGATGATGAGAGACAGCATCAGAAACTTCGCTAGGAACTTCATAATTTTTATTTGAAGTAAAAACAGGGTACTCTGCGGATAGCTGATGAATCTCAAGAGGTCCTTGGAACCACAACGAATGCTCCAGTAACTGAGCGGGACAAACGCCTCTAGAGGCTATGTCAGCAGGATTGCTCTTACCTGAAACATGGTGCCACGTAGCTGTAGGAACTAACTGCATGATATTACTGCAACGATTAGCTACGAAAGTAGGCCAACGAGACGGCTAAGAACTTAACCAATACAACACGTCCTTTGAATCAGACCACAGATGGACTGCATCTACTCTGTGATCCTGACTTTGACTGTAATGGTGTACTAACTTTGATAACAATTGGGCAGCACAAAGTTCGAGCTTCGGAACGCTTAATGTTTTAAGAGGGGCTACTTTCGTTTTAGCCGATAAAAGTGAAACATAAACTTCTTGATTAGCAACAACACGCAGATATAAAACAGCTGCATAGGCTAGTTTAGAAGCATCAGCGTAACCATGCAGCTCTATAACTTGAACAACTGGTGAAAATTGAGTCCAACGAGGAATTCTAATTTGATTCAATAATTGGATATCTTGAAACCAACGAAGCCAGTCTGATAACAAGTTCTCTGGTATCAACGAATCCCATTATAATTTAAGAAGCCATAGAAATTGTATGAAAATTTTAGCAAAAATAACGACAGGTCCTAACCAACCAAGTGGGTCGTATAATCTAGCTATATGGGAGAGTACAGCTCTTTTGGTCCATGATGTCGGTACTAAAGGAAATTTAACTTGAAAACTAAAAACATCTTCTTTAGGATACCAGACGATGCCGAGCACTTCTACCGAAGAATCACCTTCAATCAATGGAATAATGGGCGATGATTTTAAAAGTGTACTGGGCAAACAAGCCAAAACCTCTGGATCATTCGGAGACCACTTCCTAAGGGAAAAACCACCCGATGACATAACCTTTAAGAGCTGATCTCGTTTGTCAACTGCGTCACTTAATCTATGAGCTCCTGACAAAACATCGTCCATATAAATTTCTTTCATCAAAATGGGATAAGTTAAAGGGAACTCAAATTAGTAATCACTAGCCAACTGCTTGATCACTCTACAAGCTAGGTACGGAGAACAAGCTAGGCCATAAGTCACGGTTTTCAATTGATAAGCTAAAACCGGTTCTAAACTAGAGAAGCGCCAAAAGATACACTGATATTTCTGATAAATCTCATCTACACAAACCTGACGAAACATCTTTTCTATATCAGACGAAAAAACAAACTTGTAAGATCTCCAAGAAGTGATAAGATCAAAAAGATTACACAACAAATTCGGCCCAACATGGAGTAAATAATTCAGAGAGATGCCCGCTTTGAATTTAGCTGAACCATTAAACACGGTACGGAGTTTCGTAGTTGTACTTGCAAGTTTAATTACTCCATGGTGGGGTAAGAACCAACAATTATTGGACTCATCGAGTTTTAACTTCACCATGTGATTAAGATCGATATACTCACGCATGAACAAACTATAAGCATCAAACAATACTGAGTTATTATGAAATCTACGCTCTAAATTTTTCTGCATAGTGATAGACAGAGTCTTAGCGGCATCACGTTCTTTAACTAAGGGTTTCGGATCAGTCTTAAATGGAAGTCTAACTACATATCTACCAGTGCTATCTTTGTAATGGGTGTCAATAAAATGTTGTTCGCAAGCTTTTTCATCCCCTGTCCAAAGAGAATTTGGATCAACAGAGAGTTTCTCTATTTCCCAAAAACGCTTGAACAAGGGAATAAGTTGATCCTCTTCAGCGCAATGCAAAGAAACTGCACAACCACTAGTTGCTTCCTCGAAGCCCATAGAACCTGAGAGAATCCACCCTAATAAAGTACGAGTAGCAAG